ACACCAGTGAGTCCCTTCAAGGCATGGGGTTCTGTGTGGGAAATTTGGCCCAATTCTATCTGAGACTCCAAGCGGGGAGGGGAGAGCAAGCATTCTTGGTGTATGGCAGTGGGGTGCGCATGCGCAGATGAGGGAGAGCATGTGAGGCTGGAGGGAGGCTCACACCACAAGGCATGGTGATTCTGTGTGGGAAGTTTGGTCCAATTCTATCTGAGACTCCAAGCGGGGAGGGGAGAGCAGGCGTGCTCACCACATGGCAGTACGGTGCACATGTGCGGATAAGAGAGAGCGTGCGAGGTGGGAGGCAGGCGTGCACCAGCAAGTCCCTTCAAGGCATGGGGGTTCTACTTGAGACTCCAACTGGGGAGGGGAGAGCAGGCATGCTTGGCGTATGGCAGCATTGTTTGCATGTGCGGGCAAGGGTGAGCCTGTGAGGCTGGAGGGAGGCTCACAACCAGTGAGTCCCTTCAAGGCATGGGGATTCTGTGTGGGAAGTTTGGCTCAATGCTATCTGAGACTAAGCAGGGAGGAGAGAACAGGCGTGCTTGGCGTATGGCAGCGAGGTGCACATGTGCGGATGAGGGAGAGCGTGCAAGACTGGAGGGAGGCTCACACCAGAGAGGGGTTCCGTGTGAGAAGTTTGGTCCAATTCTATCTGGGACTCCAAGCGAGGAGAGGAGAGCAGGCATGCTTGGCATATGGCGTATGGCAGCGGGTTCGCATGTGTGGGCAAGAGAGAGCATGCGAGGCTGGAGGGAGGCGTGTACCAGCAAGTCCTTTCAAAGCATGGGGGTTCTGTGTGGGAGGTGTGGCCCAATTCTATCTGAGAATTCAAGCGGGGAGGGGAGAGCAGGTGTGCTCACCGCATGGCAGTGTGGTGCACATGCGTGGATGAGGGAGAGTGTGTGAGGCTGGACGGAGGTGTGCACCAGCGAGTCCCTTCAAAGCATGGGGGTTGTGTGTGGGAAGTTTGGCCCAATTCTATCCGAGACTCCAAGCGGGGAGGGGAGAGCAGGCATGTTTGGCATATGGCGTATGGCAGCGTGTTTCGCATGTGTGGGCAAGGGAGAGCGTGCGAGGCTGGAGGGAGGCGTGCGCCAGCAAGTCCCTTCAAAGCATGGGGATTCTGTGTGAGAAGTTTGGCCCAATTCTATCTAAGACTCCAAGGAGGGAGGGGAGAGTAGTATTCCAAAGTTGTGTAGCATTTGTTGTTGTTTGGTTGTTAGGGGGTTGGCCTTTGGGGGTCCCTTCAAATTTTGCATAGAAGGGGGAGCAAATAGTCTTAGAATCATAGAACCATAGAATCATAGACTTGGAAAAGACCTCACGGGCCATCCAGTCCAACCCCATTCTGCCAAGAAGCAGAAAATTGCATTCAGAGCACCCCCGACAGATGGCCATCCAGCCTGTGTTTAAAAGCTTCCAAAGCTGCGCAGCATTTGTTGTTGTTATTGTTATTGTTGTGATTACTATTGTTGTTATTATTGTTATTGTTATGACAGCCTTCTGCAGCCTCCTCCTCCTCCTCCTCTTACCTGGATTTTTCGGGCAGGATTCAGTGCTTGTCTCCCTCCTCTTTGCATGTGTCCGCCTCCAGTGCGATGATGATTATTATTCACCGTCTGCAGAGCTGCAATGCATCCGTCTGGGATGGAAAAGCTGAGATCTCGCATAAATATACATTCGACACCCACAGAGTTATGCAATGCAACTTCATTTTTAGGCCACAGGATCTGAACACATGGATATGGGGTGGAAGGGGGAGGCTTGGCTCAGCAAGGCTCCACGAGACAGCCAGCCGTGTGAGGCTGCAGCAACAAAGGCGAATGCCATTCCCGCCTGCATTCATAGTCAAGGGAAAGAAGAACCCCAATATATATATATATTCAAGGCCTTGTATGGAGTACTGAGTTCAGCTCTTGATTCCTCCTTTAGTCATCGACTATTGGAAGGGGTCCCTTGAGGCCATCTAGTCCAACCCCATTCTGCTCAATCGCAGGGTCTCCAGGATTAGAAGGTGGCTAGACCTTCAGATATGAGCTGTTTAGCAGTGTGTTGTTGTTTTTGTTGTTGTTGTTGATGATGTTATAATCAATACCTTAGCTTCCTCTCTTAAAAGAGACTTACAACACTAAAGACAATACAATGGATTACCTCTTTCTTTAGATGTGATAGTGTCACAGACATATTGGAAGGACACCCTTGAGGCCATCTAGTCCATTCCATTCTGCTCAATTGTAGGGTCTCCGGACTCAAAGGTGGTTAGACCTTCAGATATTAGTTGTTTATTACTGGAATGCATTGTTATTATTATTATTATTATTATTGGGTTGTTGTAGGTTTTTTTCAGGCTATATGGCCATGTTCTAGAGGCATTCTCTCCTGACATTTTGCCTGCATCTATGGCAAGCATCCCGCACTCCCTCTGAGGATGCTTGCCATAGATGCAGGCGAAACGTCAGGAGAGAATGCCTCTAGAACATGGCCATATAGCCCGAAAAAACCTACAACAACCCAGTGATTCTGGCCATGAAAGCCTTCGACAAGACATTATTATTATTATTATTATTATTATTATTATTATTATTATTGTTGTTTGTTCCCCAGTCTCCTCTTTTAAATGAGACTCAATGTGGCTCATGATGCTGTAAACAATACAATAGACTACCTCTTTCTTTGAACTCTCCTTTGGACAGGAGTCCCTCGACGCCATCTAGTCCAACCCCATTCTGCTCAATTGCAGGGTCTCCAGGATTAGGTCGCTAGACCTTCAGATATGAGCTGTTTAGCAGTGGAATGTTGTTGTTGTTGTTGTTGTTATTGTTGTTGTTGTTGCTGCTGCTGCTGCTGCTGTTGCTGTTATAATTAACACCCCTAGCTTCCTTTCTTAAAAGAGACTTGCAAGACTAAAAACAATACAATGGATTACCTCTTTCTTTGGATGTGATAGTGTCACAGACATAGTTGGAAGGGCACCCTTGGGACCATCTAGTCCACTCCATTTTGCTCAATTGTAGGGTCTCCAGACTCAAAGGTAGCTAGACCTTCAAATATTAATTGTTTATTAGTGGAATGCATTATATTATTATTATTATTATTATTATTATTATTATTATTATTAATTCCCTAGTCTCCTCTCTAAAATGAGACTCAACGTGACTCATGATGCTGTAAACAATACGATAGACTACCTCTTTCTTTGAACTCTCATTTGGACAGGGGTCCCTTGAGGTCATCTAGTCCAGCCCCATTCTGCTCAATTGCAGGGTCTCCAGGATTAGAAGGTGACTAGACCTTCAGATGTGAGCTGTTTAGCAGTGGAATGCATTATTATTATTATTATTATTATTATTATTATTATTATTATTACTATTACTATTATTGGTGCATCTACACTGCTATGGAGTCTTGGAAGCTATAGTTTGGGAGAGATGATGAAAGGCCTTGTGAAACTACAACTCCCAGCACTCCATAGCGTCGAGTCATTAAAAGTGATATCAAACTGCAGGACTTCTATAGGATAGATTCTCCCTGGGCTTGCTTGCTTCCTTCCTTCCTTCCTTCCTTCCTTCCTTCCTTCCTTCCTAACCTTACCAACCTAAGCTAGGTTATATCTAACTAAGTGGACATTCATATATATATATATACACACACACATTCTAACTAAGTGGACATTCATACACATATATAAATATATACATTCTAACTAAGTGGACATTCATATATATGTGTGTGTGTGTGTGTGTGTGTGAATGTGGTTTGTCCACCCTGGAACATGCAACATATAATTATCCTTCTTTCGGGGTCCCTTTCAAATCTATGACACTATAGAATCATATATATCTATCTATATATATGGCTAGATGGCTCTCTGTCAGGAGGGCTTTGATTACGTTTTCTTGCCCTGGTGAAGGGAGTTGGACTGGATGGCCTTAAGTATTTTCTGTTGGTCATGGGGTTCAGAATACTCTTTGATTGTAGGTGAACTATAAATCCAAGCAACTACAACTTCGAAATGAGAAAATCATAATGTTTTGAGTGATGGTCACTCCTTGTGTTGTGAGACGTTTTGTTGCTAAATTTGGTGTGATTTCGTTCGTTGTTTCTTTTGTTTTTAACGCAGTCATTATGCACAGAGCATTAAGCATTTTTATAGATATAGATATGAAATATAGATATAGATTTTTATATAGATATGAAAATATATATTCTAACTAACTAAGTGGACACACACACACATATATGAATGTCCACTTAATTAGATACACACACACACACACATATACAAAAAATTTCTGCCGAAACACTGCACAGTCATGTTCATTTTTATTTAATTTCCCCGATACGGTATATACAATATCACAATATATCGTAATATGAAAACCTTGTTTTTTCCCATCTGCCCTCCCTGCCCAAGGCACAGGCATTGGCCAACTCTTTCCCAGTCAACCCGCTTCCTAATAAGTTATCCTCTCATGTCGAATTATATTAATCATTGTCAATGATCCGATATCTCACATGGAGCCGGATCTACACTGTGGAATTAGTGCGGTTTGGACTTCACTTGAACTGCCGTGTCGCAGTGCCATAGAATCACGGGATTTGTAGTTCCGCCCTTTGGAAGAGAAGGCAAAAGGCCTTGCAAAACAACAACTCCCAGAATTGCATAGCAATCATCAACGGAAAAATAGTCCAATATGTTGTCGAAGGGTTTCATGACCGGAATCACTGAGTCACTGTGAGTTTTTCGGGATGTATGGCCATGTTCCAGAAGCATTCCCTCCTGACGTTTCACCTGCATCTATGGCAGGTGACCTCACAACCTCTGCTTGCCATAGACGCAGGCGAAACAGCAGGAGAGAATGCTTCTGGAACATGGCTAGACAGCCCCGAAAACTCACAACAACCCAACAATAGTCCAGCTGCGTTAATCCTGCAGTGATGATGCAACCCATAGAAAAACGTATTTTTTTGCATTTGGAACAAGCCGTCAAAGGGATCAAAAGGGGCCAATGATGCAAAAATAGGAAATTGAGAAAAGTAATGCAAAGTCCAGGCTCATCTCCGCGGGAAGTGGAGCACGAAGCCGTCTCGGCTCTTGGCGAAGTCCGGCAAAGCCTGCTGTCCGTCCCGAGCTTCCACCGAGATCAGCCTCTTGCGGCCTCCAAGGCTGGCCGGGATGCAGTCCGAGACCTGGACGCCCAGGGGACGATGGGCCCTGCAGGAGACCGAGAGAGAGAGAAAGGATGAGATGGTCCTCTGTTGGGAGGGATTGGTTGGTGTCTACCTGCCAAATAGAAGAGGGTTGGACTAAATGCCCTTTGGGGGTCTCTTCCACAGCTATAACAGGCATGGGTCAGCTTGGGCCCTCCCTCCCAGGAAAATGGGAGGAAAGGAAGGAAGGAAGGAAGGAAGGAAGGAAGGAAGGAAGGAAGGAAGGAAGGAAGGAAGGAAAGAAAGAAAGAAAGAAAGAAAGAAGAGAAAAAAAGGAAGGAGATAAGAAGGAAGGAAGGATAAAGGGAGGAAAGGAAGGAAGGAAGAAAAAAGGCTGAAGAGAGAGAGGGAAGGAGGGAAGCAAGAAGGAAGAAAGGAAAGAAAAAGAAGAGAACAAAAAGGAAGGGGGTAAGAAGGAAGGAAGGAAAAGGGAGGAAAGAAAGAAAGAAAGAAAGGAGAGAAGAAAGAAAGACTGAAGAGAGGAAGGGAGGGAAAGAAGCAAGAAGGAAGGAAAAAAGAAGGAAGAGAACAAAAAAGAGAAATGGAAAGAAAGAACAATGAAAGGAAGGAAAATGAAAGGAAGGGAAGGAAGGAACAATAAAGGAACTAGGGAAGAAGAAAGGAAGGAAAGAAGAGAAAGAAAAGAGGGGGGAAGGAAAGAAGAAAGGATGGAGGTAAGATGAAAGGAAGGGATAGGGGAAGGAAGAAGGGAAGAAAGAAAGAAGAGACCAAAAAGAACGAGATAAGAAGAAAGGAAGGATAAAGGGAGGAAAGAAAAAAGAGAAGAAAAAAGGCTGAAGAGAGGGAGGGAGAGAAGCAAGAAGGAAGAAAGGAAAGAAAAAGAAGAGAACAAAAAGGAGGTGAGAAGGAAGAAAGAAAAAGGGAGGAGGAGGAGAAAGAATGAAGGGAGGGAGGGAGTGAGGGAGAAGGAAAGAAAAAAGAAGGAAGAGAACAAAAAAGATTAGTGGAAAGAAATAACAATGAAAGGAAGGAAAATGAAAGGAAGGGAAGGAATGAAGGAAGAGAACAAGAATGAAAGGAGAAAGGAAGGAAAGAAGAGAACAATAAGGAAAGTAGGGAAGAAGGAAGGAAGGAAAGAAGAGAAGAAAGAAGGGAGGAATGAAAGAAGAAAGGAAGGAGGTAAGATGAAAGTAAGGATGAGGAGGAAGGAAGAAAGGAGGAAAGAAAGAATAGAAAAATAAAGGAATGAGGGGAAAAGATAGGGCCTGGCGGTCCACGCCTGCACTTCTTCTCTTCCTTCTCCTGTCGCCACGGCAATGGGATGCTAGGTAACTGCCATGGCAACGGGGTTCTGAGCCCTTCGCCTCCATCACACTCAGGCAGTGATGACGCACAGTCCATATGTGTGTGTGTGGGGGGGGGGTGGGCTAGATGACCTCTGGGGTCCCTCTGGGCTCCCTATGCAAAAGGGGGAGCCTTGGCTTTGATCCATTGGCCTGCCTTGAGATTGGGAGCTTGCATGGCCATCCACACTGCCAAATTATACCAGTTTGACCCTGTTGTGACGCTGCTTTATGGAGCCTTGCAGCCTGGGAAGGGACTACAAAGCCCAGAATCCACCGGTTTCCCAAGATTTGGGATTAGAAAGCAATCATCATCATGGCCGAGCTTCCAAAATAAACAGCGATGCATCTCACATGGCTCTCCAGGAGACAAAGCGGCCCTTATGCCTTGCGATGGCACTATTTATAGCCCAGCGCCGATGAGTAAGATACAAGCCGCCCCGGCAGCTCTCCAGACCTTGGAATTATTATCACTATCATTATTATTGGGGGGACTACATATCCCATCACCATCCAGCCAGTAATCTGGAATGTTAGCACTCCCAAGCTGGCAAGGAGCAAGCTGGACAAGCTTAGAATCATAGAATAATTGGAAATATTATTATTGTTGTTGTTATATGGGGGACTACATATCCCATCGTTCTCCAGACTGTAGCCCGGGCGGGAAGGCAGATCTCCCAAGCAAGCTGAGCTACCTTAGAATCTTAAAACAATTGGAATTATTCTTATTATTTGGGGAACTACATATCCCATCACCCTCATTCAGTAGTTTGGAAACGTAGTTCTCCCAAGCTGGGCCGGGAGCAAACTAGGCTAGCTCAGAATCATAGAATAACTGGAATCGTCATAATCATAACCATCATTTGGGAGGACTACATATTCCATCATCCCCATTCAGTCATCTGGAAAGGTAGCTCTCCCAAGCTGGGCAGGGAGCAAACTGAGTGAGTTTAGAATAATAAAATAATGTGAATTATTATTATTATTATTATTATTATTATTATTTGGGAAACTACATATCCCATCATCCTCCAGACAGTTGTCTGGAAAGGTAGCTCTCCCAAGCTGGGTAGGGAGCAAAATGAGTAAGCTTAGAACCATAGAGCAACTAGAAACATAATCATAACCATTATTATTTGGGTGACTACATATCCCATCATCCTCTAGCCAGTCATCTGGAAAGAGAGTTCTCCCAAGCTGGGCAGGGAGCAAGGTGAGCAAGTTTAGAATCATAGAACAACTGGAAACATCATCATCATTATTATTATTTGGGAAGACTACATATTCCATCATCCTCATTCAGTAGTCTGGGAAGGTAACTCTCCCAAGCTGGGCAAGAAGCAAGTGGGGCGAGCTTTGAATCATGAAATAACTGGAAACATAATCACCATCATTATTATTATTTGGGAGAACTACATATCCTATCATCCTCTAGCCAGTCATCTGTAAAGGTAGCTCCCCCAAGCTGGGGAGGGAGCAAGCTGAGCAAGCTTAGAATCATAGAACAATTGGATGCATAATCATCATCATTATTATTTGGGAGGACTACATATCCCATTATCCTCTAGCCAATTGTCTGGAAAGGTAGCTCCCCCAAGCTGGGGAGAGAGCAAGCTGAGCAAGCTTAGAATCATGGAATAACTGGAAACATAATCATAATCATTATTATTTGGGAGGACTACATATCCCATCATCCTCATTCAGTAGTCTGGGAAGGTAACTCTTCCAAGCTGGGCAAGAAGCAAGTGGGGTGAGCTTAGAATCATAGAACAACTGGAAACATAACAGTCATCATTATTATTTGAGAGGACTACATATCCCATTATCCTCTAGCCAATCGTCTGGAAAGGTAGCTCTCCCAAACTGGGCAGGGAGCAAGGTGAGTGAGCTTAGAATCATAGAACAACTGGAAACATAACATTCATCATTACTATTTGGGAGGACTACATATCCCATTATCCTCTAGCCAATCGTGTGGAAAGATAGGTCCCCAAGTTGGGGAGGGAGCAAGCTGAGTGAGCTTTGAATAATAGGATAATTGGAAACATGAAGATGACGGTGGTGGTGGTGGTGATGATGGAGGACTACATATCCCATCCTTCTCCAGCCAGTCATTTGGAAAGGTAGCTCCCCAAGCTGGGCAGGGAGCAAGCTGAGTGAGCTTCGAATAATAGGATAATTGGAAACATGGTGATGACGGTGGTGGTGGTGCTGATGGAGGACTACATATCCCATCATCCTCCAACCAGTCGTCTGGAAAGGTAGCTCTCCCAAGCTGTGCAGAGAGCAAGATGAGCAAGTTTAGAATAATGTGAATTATTATTATTATTATTATTATTATTATTATTATCTGGGGGACTACATATCCTATCATCCTCCAGACAGTCGTCTGGAACTGTAGTTCTTCCATTGGGTGTTATGGGGTTTGTAGTTGTCTGTTTCCGTAAAGAGGCTGGAACGACAGCCCTGCAGAGTGGGCCAAACTTCATCACCTTCTCCTTTTTCTTTTCCTTTTTCTCTTCCCTTCTTCTCCGTCTTGACACCTTGGTCCTCTTTCTTCACCTCTTTGCAGTGAATGAGATTTCCTCGCCGTCGCCTAGCAACCATTTCCAGGGAAATATCTGCAAAGGGCTTCCAATGGCCAGAAATGCAAAGGTTTCAGGGCTTGAGGGGTGCGTCTACACTACAAGGTGAATGCAGTTTGACATCACATTAATTGCCACCACTCGATGCTATAAAGCACTGGGATTTGTAGTTTGGCAAGGCTTCTTGGGCAGAGGAGGCTCATCAAGGCCTTGTCGATTAAAGCCGTATGGAACTGCATTAACTCGACAGTGTAGACGCACCCTGACTCTGAAAACATGGAATTGCACTCTGCTCTTGTCTTTATAGTACGAGTTTTTGTGCAAATTGCTTTTGTGTGTGCGTATGTGTGTTGGCACCTTCATTTGCACCTTTCGACGTCTCCGAAGTGTAAACGAAACAGGTGAAAAACAACCTCGCAACGCGCCAAGTCTCGCACAAACGGGTTCGCAGGAAAAGTGCAATCTTTGCCTTCAGTGGCATGCGTTAATTATGTATTGCGTACTTTCTTTTTCCAGACATTACTAAAAATACCGTACTCTGTTTGTGTCACGGTGGCTGCAAAACGCAGGATCCTTTTTTTGCAAAGGGGAACTTCGCCTACTCCAAAACATGCTGGACTGCAACACCCATCAGCTAGTGTTTGGAGTTCACTTCCAAATACTAGCCGTACCCGCCACGCGTTGCTGGGGCCAACCTTCCTTTTCTCTCTTCCTTTCTTTTTCTCCTTCCTTCCTTCCCTTTTTTCTTTCCTTCTCTCCTTCCTTC